TTATCGATTCTAAGAAAAGATCAAATAAAACGGTATCATCACCTAGGCCTAAAATCGAAGCCTATATTAGGCTAAAGCCCTCCAATATATATGCAAAATACATGGAAAATAGAATAAGGCAAGGAGCCAGTAGATAATTTGTTCAATAAATTTGCCGTTAAGGCAAAATAAAAATCCATCAAAAACCTTAATGCAAAGCACAATAATCTGGAACAAATGGCACTAGTGATGATATAGTAACTCTGCTATTTACCTAGTGGTGCAACCAATAACATTTAAGGATCGGAATAGAAATGCTTCAAGATCCAAGGTATTATAGAATTTAAAAGGGAAGATAAGGACAGTAATAAGGTTGAAGGCTAAAATAAAAATCGTGAACATTAAATTTAATAATAAAATAATAATTTGTTACCCTTGGTTACTAAATTTCACTTAGCCTGGTCTCCCGAAAGGTTTTCTTAATCCGAAAGAACGATAGTTTAGACCGTCTAAGCCTCCATAGCAAGATCAGAAACTAGGTAGTGTAGGTAATGTGATAGCACATAACCACTTCGCCACATACACACGCATAATGTAATTGGATCTAAGTGGAGGTGCGACATTCAGATAAAGCTCGATCTTCTCCTATTCACAATCGTATAGTTGAATCTTGAATGAGGCATATATTTTACATATAAATTAACCATATCAACACATATATAAATATTTTTTATGAAACTATCAATAGATCTTGTTTATGAATTTAAGCCGTGAAGCCTATTCATTTAATTGTATGAATTCAAAATATTATACCTTGAATCAAAGTAAACGTCTCAGGGTAACTTAAATTATACATCAAAATATTATTTTAGTCACGAAATCGACCCTTTCCATCAATAATTAAAGTTATATTCTACAAAAGCACGATTAATTGAGAAACGAGTGTAAATTCGAAAGCCTTGTCTTACGTACTCAGCACATTGTCACAATATTAATCTATAAAAGAAATTTTAATTTGTCCTTTCATCCGAGGAAAAATCATAGTTGACCTAAGCGAGTAAACTGCTTCATCAAAACCTCCTTTAGACCTAAATGCTATGTTCACTTAAGGGAAAAAAAAGACTTAGTACAAGCATGGTACAGTAAATTATTTCTAGAAATAAGATAAATATAACTCTCATATAATTTTAATGATATTCTCGAAACCTACATAAAAATTAAAATAGGTAATATAGTCGACTGTAACAACAAATACAACTTTGCTTCGTCTCAATTCTCAACAAGAAAAAGTGACATGGGAACGGCCTATGCTTCCTTTAAATTCGCATCTGCTCTGTGAACCAAGAGCTCGTCTGGCAGTGTAGCGTAGTGGTTAACGTCTCGATACTATACAATGTCATACCACAAGCCGGATTCGAGTTACACTGTGGATGCTGATGAGAACAGCTCAGATGAGGTTAAAACTGCAGTCCAAATTGGAGGATAATAACTTATGTGAAATTAAATAGAAACGTCAAGCCTATTCATATCATGGTGAGAAAATTTAGCCATAAGTTCTTTATCACCTTGAGCGAAATGGGATGAATACAACCATGAAGGTTGAAGTGAAAAGATTAACCCTCATGAAGTTATTGAAGTTTCTTATAGCCTTGACTCCCTAAAGGCTGGACTCCAGTTTCTATCTTGCCTCACCATCTCATCAGCAACCCGAATGGACTCGAAATCAGGTCGTGCGCATCAAGCTGCAATTCATCAACTCCCCAAAAAGGCAAGTATGACTTAAGGCAAGCCCAGATTAATTTCATTTTAATAAAGGGATCATCGACAATGCAAACCAATATTTGGCGCCACAAGCGGCTACATTACTTTATTATGAAATTGAATGACGCAGTGAATCCATGAACTCGTTTTAATGTAATAAATTCAACTATAAATCTTAATCCAGCTTAAACGACTTAAGGCGACCTGATCTCATTCAAGTTCAATTGATAGTTTCGAAATGCAACCAATCAAGGAATGCTTTTTCTCTGTTGATAGAGATGCACTGAATCAATCTGAAAATGTGGTCGAATGGGCCGAATTTTATAAAATTTTAAAAGGCCCTACAATTATAATCAATTCATGAAAGAAGGAATGTCTATGAGCAAATTAATTTTCTAGAAGTCTAAACAGCTATTAGATGCATGCTCGATCAGTTAGCAGACAATTTATGTTGGGCGTAGATGAATACAGAATCAATGTTTCTTGGTTTCGTTAATTTATACGTGCGATGTAGAAGCTCAATGCATCATGAAACTTTTTGACCCCAAATATTATCATATTTTGTAAATATTTGCAGTTTCAAACTTGTTCCTATAAGTCCACAAGCTAGTCAGGTTTTGATTCATCCAAAGCCATAAGTTCAATCAATGATCACGTTTCATCAAATAAGCTTTTTTAGATACAGCTCTTTGACGGCAGACTTTATTCTCATTTTCGCGGGCTTTTCAGCTGAGATGGCGACACTTGATAACTGTACTTCCTTAACAAATCAAATGCGTGGTTTAGGATATTTTCGAAATATATTCCACATTTCCTTCAGACATTCTTTGCTTGTTTCTGAAGCATCCCACCCGAGTTTTTAATGGTAGGAATTCTCCTTTTACTTGGTCCTTAACAGACCTTAGTTTAATGAGTGGAGAAGAAGCATAATCGCTTATATTTTTCTTTATATCCGGATTTCATTCAGATATTCGGAATATTTCTGGACACCAGTTCAAATTACATTATAAATATGAAGATAGATTGGCAAATACCAGTAAAAAAGCTTTGATGACTCGAGATTCGCTATCGAATTTGGATAAGAAAAATATCAACAATTTTCTATTGATTGCATGATAATTCTAGCTGAGAATCTCAATCTCTTTTAAATGAAAAAATCAAACAACAAATAGTAGGAGTACATTATTTATTCAAAGGCTTCTAATCATCAGAATATAATCATTGTCAATCTGTACAAAAAAATTTTGAAATTAAAATAAACGGATTTCTATTATTAATGAAGTAAAATAGTGTATTCAGTCAGAAGGGATTACATTATTTAAATTAATC